AAATTTGAAATCGGACATTTCGTCGTTATTAAACGTCTCGTTAGTAAATGTTATGAAATGTCTCATATAACATTTCAAATTTCCTCTGTCGATAGCGATAGCGAATACAACTCATCCCGAGTTGTATTTTTTTCGAGTTACTCGAGTTGACGTGATAGCTGGCTCGAGTTGCAACTCGAATATACTCGCAATAGCGAGTCACGAGTAGCAAGAGCGATGCGGCGTATATTCATATGAACTCGAACTGACGATTCACCAAATTGGCCACGATTGGCCGGCCGCGCCTGAGCGGGCTCCGAAAGTCGCCGAACCGGCCAAGTGGCAACAAGTAGAACATGCGCTGTGCAAAGAAGTATTCGGCTCGGCAGGGCGGCACTGAATCGAGTTAGCTCGAGTTCATAAAAAAGTAGCTCGAGTTGATTCGTTGTGAGAGTAACTCGAGTAAATTGAGTTATATGACTCGGACTCGCCCATCGCTACACACATATACACAACCACAAATTACACCCAAACTTACGAGAGAAATAAATGTAGGCTAATTTGTCCTAGCTCGGGAATCGAACCCGGGACCTCTGCGTGGCAGTTCAGCATGGTAACCGTTCGGCTAACGAGGCGGTTAATCTGTGTGAAGGTAACAAAATATGACGATCAAAAACACAATTACTTAAAATTACATTTATTTATGTAGTATATGCTTATTTGTATTTTCAGATTTAATTTTCGTCGGTGTAGTGGCACCACCTGCCTAAAACCTTTGTAATAATGTGCTCATACCCAGTATTTACTAAACTGTTATGAAATGAGCGCATATAAATAGCTGCCATGTATTAAGTAATTTCCTGTCATAAATATTGTGTATTGGCAACTTAAAGAATTTTGGTGACATTTTTATATCGGATATTATGCATATAATTTTCAAAATATACATAATTATTTAAGTATATTCGTAATAAAAAAAATTAACACTTGTTTTGTTAATAGTAATGTTGCAATAATGCATATTATTTTTCCATTAACTTATACATATTTTTGAACGCGACTGTACCTAGTTACATGTTTTATAATATTGTTACTTGCATACATTAATGAACACTTATTTCTCAATTTTATCAATTAGTCTAATTCACCAAGTTCCTAGTCCATTCATGTTTTTACTATTGATAGTTTGGTTGAGTAACATCGACACTAGAGGTGAGATAGGAACGGAATCGATATCGATTTCGATTTCGTTCCCATTATAAATGTTTTGAGGTAATTTAATTTTGTATGGAAACAAATTGCTTTTTTGTATATAAAACAGACTTAAAAAATAGAGGAGTTATATCCTACACCTTACTTGAGAACACCTGCACCCGTAGCATGGCTACGCATGATAGTCGCGACGCGCGCGATAAAATTGTAATAAGCACGCGCTATTGGCTGTCTCAATCAGATCAAATTTAGATAGCCAATAGCGCGCGCCCATTTCTATTTTATCGTGTCGCGACTATCATGCGTAGCCATGCTACGGGGGCTGGTGGACACTAATAATAATATAATTGTCTTTTGGTAACCTAAACTAAACAATGTGTTGTAATATCTAACAGTTATCGATATATGAATCGATACTGAAATCGATGCTTAAGTAGTCACGACTTTAATTTATTTAAAGTTCTAATTTTTTGTGAATTAGCCTAAAAAAATGTTTCCCATATTTATGTCAGTTTAAAATTTTATAACAGAAGTTCGTGGGGACTAATGGTTAACTTTTGTGCCTGTTTCAGTTGAAAGTATATTCAGCTACCCATTAAGATATGCAAACTGTAACTTTTATCAACTGCAAATTGCTTTTTATAAGTGACGTGCAATTTTATGTAATGAATTTTGACAGTTTGTACATCTTTCGCTGTGAGTGGCAAATAGTACTACATCGATGCCGGTAATAAAAGCTCCAAAAATTTGCGATAGCGTTCGGAGGCGAGTGTACAAAAGCTATTGTATAAAATGAGGATCGTGACAGCTATTTTAATTTTTATCAACGTTAAAATTTGTAAACAGCCTATAACATCGTATTTTATATCATTCACAGCCCTCAATCGTTGTAGTATAACAATAAAGAAGTTTACTCTGAAAGTACTAAACACTTATACAAATAGCTTTGCTTTGATAAAGGCATAGTATATTAAGACAAGTAGTGTAACTCCCGCTGGTTCGCCTCGTCAACGCCTCCACGCTCGGAGCATAGGGTTGTCATGTCATTATTTTAGTTGTATTTATAGAATGAAAAACACAATTAGTAGGGCAAACACGACATAAAGCGCGAGATACTGCTATTCTTGCATAGAAAACGTTTTATGTCGCTCTCGCGCAAGTCGCGCTCTATCGTGCTAGCCCTTCTGAAAGAATTAATGTATTCCTTATTAATAACATTTCGTCGGGGATAGTGCAAATCCGCGTATGTGGTATTGGTAAAAAGCGCGTATCTACACCAAACCCAATTTTACAGAAGATTTAACTTTATTACTTTGTTATTTCAATGGCTACGACTTTCATTTTTGCACAGAAAGCACTAATTTATGTTGTCCACAGACTTATAACAATAGATTTACGTTTCCATTTACATTAATTTTTTTTAGATTTACACTTACGCGAATTTCATTTGGCTAACTTACCGAAATGGAAACTGAAAATCCAGTGATAGTTACGCGTAATAGCACTATCCCGGACTATTTATCAAATGCAGTCATTGACATGCAATAATTATATTATTACATTTTTACACTAAGATGTGATTATGAGAGTATGATAGTGAAATAGAAATATACATAATGTTAAATTTGTAAATAAAAAAATATAAATTTATTAAACAACGAATGGCGCGTGCTACCTGCGCCGTACAACGCGATTGCACCGCGAATGTGTGCGTCAGTATACGGTGCGCGGCGGGTTGTACACATACAAGCCGAGGTGCTACATTTGTAGTGAGTTAGACTTCTCTTATTATACTATGGTAAAGGTAAGTATTATAGTTAAAAGACGTGTCTGCAACTAGCTGATTATTATTGTGCAATGGCACTGCTGGTTGGTGTTGTTATTTACTGGCGATTCTTTAAAATGTATCTTGAATAAATACTGAAGCCGAACGCCTGCACTGTTACTCCGAAACATTTACGCCTTTTATATTTCTATACCTTCTGATCGATGCTTCTGACCTTCTGTACCTGAATAATAATATTCTGTAGTTAAATAATAGTGAGTCAGAATGGTGGGATTCGTTAAGACGCACACGGCACTCTGAAACCTCAACATATTTTGTATTATTTCTCAGAAACTAACCAGCACCTCGAGCTGGAGTTTCCTTTACTTCCGAGTACTATTAAGATACAAATTTTTGGAATAAGAAGTTTTTATAATTGTTAAATAGTGATAAATCGTGGTACATCCGCCATATTGACAGTTAATACGGCGGCTGTACCTTTAATATTGCTATAACTTCGTTCTGATGGAGGTACAAACTTTTTAAACAGAGATACTAAATAGTACAAATTAGGTACAATTTTTTGATACCAAATTTGTCAGGAACCGTTAAGGTACACCGCCATTCTGACTCTCACAAATAATAACAGTAGCAGAAGACCTCCTTATGAAAGAGATCGTCCAGGGAAGTTGTTGTAATGTTAGCATTACTGCGTTCCGGTTTTGAACAGTAAGGATACTGGTGAAATTACAGGCACATGGGACTTGTCTACTTACGTATCATGATGAGTGCGTGCATAAAAAAAATACGACACATTTTACATGAGTGTCCATTATAATTTTTTTTTTTTTTTGTTGTATTATATGACAAATAATGTTGACCTAAGAACTCGATAAATAATTTAGATTTTGACTTTTGATTGTTAGTATGCAAATATATTTTTGTCAGTGCTAGCAGTAAAGGCGAGGCTAACTAGTACAGACACACGAGTTGCATTTTGATGCAACTGTAAAATAGTTTCAATGCAATTGTGCCTACTGTATACATACAGCTAGCTGTCTTCTTTTATCTACACATATATCATAAACTCTCTATGATGTGTTCAAAAACTACGATCAGCATGAAGATTTTGTTAGAACAAAGTTCTTATCTGTGAAAATGTTATTATTGCACATCGAATTCTATTTTATTATTACATACAAATTTCGAACATCTCTGAAAAACAAAATAATTTGATTCGACCTCAATTGTTATATGAGTCGAGACGAAGTTTTATTTATTCGAAATGAAATGTCAATAGCAAACAATTTTGACACATTTCACACGTTACTTGATATCGAACGTTATCTATTATATACTCTAAGTAGTTTGTTTATGTATTAAATAAAAACTACGGTTGTGTGACATGCGTGAGAAAAGTTTTTATTTGCCGCCATTTCGCCAGTCGTAACATGCAGTTCCTGAACACATCACAGAGAGCTTAAAATATGTGTAATAAAGCAGTGTATGTAACTGTATATAATTAGGATTTAAAACACTCGTGTGATGTTTTTGTGAAACTCGCCTGTCGGCCCGTTTTATAAACCCACACTCGTCTTTTAATGCCTTTCATTATGTAACTGTCACATAAACTATTATTATACTATGTCATCTGCATTAATATAATATAAAAAGCATAGTTGCGACGGAGTAACATAGCAAGAATTCGCGCCTCGTGAGGTTTCACTCTTAGGCTCAACTCACACTGACGCAGAGTCGAAGCGTCGCGAAGTGTTATGTTTTTCGCCTATAGCATATTCATCTCTATTTTCCCATTATTAAGGTACAAATTTGTGTTATGCAAATATGTCGACGCTTGTTTGCAGTCGAGCGGCTTCGCGTGTCGACACGCGAACCTTGAGCGCAGTGAGGCGTCAGGCGCCGACCACAGTGATCCGGGCGCGCTAATGCGATGGTCGTCGCGCGTCGCCAGGCGTTGGAGTTGAAAAAGAGGACGCGACGCGACGCTTCGACTCTGCGCCAGTGTGAGTTGAGCCTTAGCGGCATGAGCACATATAAAAGGAGTAACACAATTGGGGCTAAAATCTTTCGCGGGTCTTTGTCGTGCAGAATATCTATCTACCTTCAGAATATAAAAATTCGCATAAGCAAAGACAAAACAAAATTACGTCACAGTTTGGTTTAAGTAATCAAGAAATCAAAACATGAGCATTATTCTAAACAAAAGATATTGTTTTTTGGATTGAGCTTGATTCTTTACAGTACAGTGTCAAAAACAAAATAATATTACTAACAACAATAGCAAAAAATGTCGCCGAAAGTTCGCATAGAAAAATAATCATAACTCGCAGCGTCATACAGTTAAATGAAAGTTATTATAATACCTAAACCTCTATATTATAACTAACTAACCTCTATATATACTTGGGAATTATAGAAATCTAATTAAAAAAGTTAAAAGTATGTATAGATAACAAATCTAAAAACAATAATATCAAACAACCGTATGGAAAACCTAACAAACAACGAGACATTTACCATAGTAAAATAAGAGAAGTATGATACCTCTATACAAACTAACAGCGCGGCTTGCATGTGTGCACAACCGTCTCACGCCGTGTTCAAATGCATACTTTTACATAATAATAAACGTGTGTTGGGATGAACAGTGTTATGCAACGCAAGTGCATCTTGAGATTATGCGTTACCATACTTGTCTTATTATACTATGCATTTACTAAAGAACAAAATTATGCACGTTTTATATAACTAAACTGGCGGCTGGAGCGGCAACATTCTCATTTGTTTTCAGTTTTGGTCCCAGCCCAATGATCTTTCAACGGCCATTTTCCATTGTTTATATCTCATGTCTCTTTCATCGTCACTGATACGTGGTACATAAGTAATACCACTACCAACAGGGATAGTGACTCCCTGCTGAGTACTGTCGATACTCCAATAAGCCACCAACGCTGCGCCTAGCGCTGTGCTCTCTGTGAATTCCGCTCGAATAACATTTATACCGGTTAAGTCTGCTTGCATTTGCATGACGAGACTATTCGACGTCATACCCCCGTCCACCTGTAATAAAATATTTCATTTCTTACTTCAAGTCCTAACATTATATTTTTAATCGACTTCAAAAAAGGAGGAGGTTTTCAATTCGACTGTATTTTTTCTTTTTTTTCGTATGTACGTTACGCGATAATTCCAGCATTTGTGAACCGATTTTGATGATTCTTTTTTTGTTGTAAAAAGGGTACCTCATTAATGGTCACATTTAAGTTTGAAGAAAATATTCCACCTCTAAGGGTATGAATCCGGTTTCGCACTCCTTTCCGGTAACTGATTTCAAGGGTCGGTTTTTGAGTACTCTATACTGAGATTATTTATTAATTTGACTAATGTGACTCCGCTTTAAGTAAGTGTTGACTGCCTACATCTCTCCTTAGATATGATGGGAGTCCAGTAGTGGGACCACGCTTGTCTGCATAATGCTGTACCAGTTTATCAGCTTGGCGTTTAGTAATGGGTCTATGCACAGACATATATCTAGATAGATGCCGCAAGTGTACGTACTTCGCGTGCCCAAAGTAAGTGAAATTCACTTAGTTGCCGCTGCTACATTTCAGAACGCGCTCGACCGTTATCGTAGATAAACACCAGTAGAAAACGCGGAAAATGCATAATTGTGCCATTATAAACTCCAAAAGCACCATAACTGTGTGAAAACGGGTAAACAGGGACGTCTCCTTCCTCAGGCAAGTAATTTTGTAATCAGAAGATGCATAATCTATTTTAAAAACAATTATTTTGGTTTTGAATTTCGAGAAAACAAATATGCAACCGAGTGTATGCCTCATGATTTGTAATACATTGCAGCTTTTACTTGGTGCGATATATTTGTGATCCTTTGTTAATACGCTATGAATATCAAACGAACGCACTTTTGTATAATGCATTCAGTTTCGTGGTACGGTCGCTTGTACATTTCTTTGGCCAAATTTAACATTTAGTGATGTATAGGTTAGGTAAATTGTTCTCGATTGTGATCGATTATGAAAACAAAGGAACGAAAATTATTATGACAATATTATAAAAATATTCTATTACTCTTTTGTTATAACGTTTAAACGTTCCGTTTTATTTTTTCAGTTTTGTAGTATCTATTATCAGTAGTATCTGTAATTTCGATAATTTTTGCAGCACGTTGCCTCGAAAGTCCGAATATAGTGTATGTAGTACGATTAATACAAAAAAGTATATAATGCAAAGAATTAACAGTGCGTTGTCTTTATAAAACCTGGGGTTAGTCATACGTATGAGTTCGTTGCTTTCGAGGACGAAGATGGTCTAGTTTATCCTACTTAAGATGCTATCCAAATATGCAGAGATAGAAATCCGAGAAATAATAAACAAATCACAAAAATTTCACACGAGGCCGTCATTAAGTAAACCTCTTCTGATTAATAAGATATTTACCATATTTTGTCAGCAGTAACATTTTCATTTGTCTTAATATTCATCAATTTGATCAATTACTAACGCAAAACCATCTAGTAAAATTAATTAAGGCAGTCGCAAGTTCATATATTGACGTGCGTTTTCATTATTTTAGTTAATCGATAAGATCTTCTATTACAAAAAGATGTTATATAATAAGCTCATTTTATTGGAGGGACAATAATTTTAATATTTCAAGTCGGTTAAACATTAAAGTCAAACTTTTTTTAGATAATCAACATTTTTTTAAAACAAGTAAAATAAAAGACTTAACTATTTTATTCTAGTATTTTTCTACTATATTAATATTACGACTACTTGTAATCAACAAATACTTGAACAAAAATTATTCTATTTAGAATCGATTAATTGAATGGAATAGGTACGCGTGTTTACGCGTGCACCGTTCAATCAATTGATTTAGAGTGAGCGGAAGGAGGTTTCCATCACTAAATAGTTCTTGTGACGTCATAGTGGGTACAAAAAGTGTAGTACGCTTGGTTTTCGTACAAATTGCTGCACTTGCGGCGTCTAACTAGATATATGTCTATGGGACTATGCATGTTTGTATAATGCTGTATCAGTTTATCAATTTGGTGTCCAGTGATGGGACTATGCTTGCCAGGATAACCCTGTACCAGTTTATCAACTTGGTGTTTACAGTACTACATGTTAGTGCGTGTGTGTTTTATACCTTTAAAAGCTGAAGTGGAATTCCACAGTCCTCGTTCATTGCATCGAGTATGTCTCGTACTTGATAACATACAGCTTCGAGTGCTGCTTTCACAATATGCGAATAATTTGTGTCTTCTGTAATTCCACAAATAACACTGGAAATAAATAAAGACAAATATATACATTAAATGGATTACTTTATACTTCTTTTGCAGGTATAAAGTTGAGCAAAAGCCATAAGTTTACTTCAAGGCCTCACAACCATTATATAGATAATCAAATTGATTTTTAAAATAATTTCAGGGTTTGTGATTTTTTAAAAGAAATTGTATTGTTTGCTTCTAATAAAAACATAATAAACATATTTAGAATTATATATAAAAGGAACGTTCTGAAAAAGATCGACATAAATTTCATCAATTAATACCAGATTTACCAGCATTTATACTGGGATTACCCCATGTAAAAGTAGATAGCGATGAAGACTTATTCAAACAAGGATAAAAATAATTACAGTAGATAAAGCATAAACGTTAACAACGCACTTTAATTCTTAACTTCCTTGTGATAAGGTTTTTTTATGACCCTGCACTATAAACTCGACAGCAGAAATTTATATAATTATAATAGTAATAACCGAAACATAAACATGGTTTCCCTTAACAACTTGTAAAATATTTGAAGTTGTGTCAAAACTGTGGCATGAAAATAAGATTTCTGTCTCTGAAAACAAGACATACTATAACATTAAGTCAATGGTAGCCCAACCATTTATCAGGGTCCCAAAATGATACCCACCCTCTAGCATCTTGTCGCCAATATGGAGCATATAAACCACTGAAAGCTGGTACAAAAACTACACTCCCATTTTCAGTGGCCTTCTCAGCAATTTCTTGGGAATCCTTAGCATTTTCCATTAAGCCAACATTGTCCTTTAGCCAACCGAGTGCTGCTCCAGCAATTGCTACCTACAAAATTAACAGGTCTTGCTTTATCTCAAGTAAGCAAGTTTCACAAAATTTCTCCTGGGCCATGTGAAATCAACAATTCGCATTTTTCAAGAGACCTAATACTCTAGTACCTTCACTACCAACTTACCGAGCCTTCTAATGCATACTGTGGTGGACTCTTACTCCCTAACTGATAAGCTACAGTAGTAAGCAATCCTCTACTAGAAGTAACGCGAATATCACCAGTATTGTACAATACGAAACATCCAGTCCCGTACGTCGCTTTAGCTTGACCCTTTTGAAGACACATTTGACCAACCAGGGCAGCTTGTTGGTCTCCTAGGCAACCAGAGAGAGGAATGTCTTTAAGAGGGCCTTCAGCAATGTAACCGTAAATCTGCAATCACAATAACTCAATATATTGTATTATCTGATTTAGAGGTTACCAAGTTGGAGTAGTTATTTCCGATTAGGTAACTAAGTAACCAATTTACCTTTAATTAACATTTAAGAATATTGCTTGTTTTTGGGTGTTTTGGCTTCTGTTCCATTGAGGACAATATTTCTGCCAATGTCAGGATTGAAAAAGTATATTGATAGTTAATTTTATAAAAAGAAACAAGTACAAACATAGACAAAACTGATTTTCATTTACCTCTGAACTAGATCTGATTTCTGGGAGCACTGATGTAGGTATTTCAAAGAATTTTAATAGAAGAGGGTCCCAATTTAAATTTTCAATGTTCATCAACATTGTTCTCGACGCATTTGTGACATCAGTTACATGCTTTCCTCCATTAGGACCACCTGACAAAAGCAATTAATTAAATGAACAATGAACTATTAATGACATAGCAATACAAAGTATAATTTGCACCAAGTTTTCAACATTAAACAATACCCAGTGGAATATTGCTTATGAAAGTATGATTAGCCATGTAATTGACTTCTCTAAATCTGATGTTTTTTGTCTTTCTTGTAAATGAAAAAAATGTAACATACCTGTAAGGTTCCATATGATCCACGTATCAACAGTGCCAAAGCAACAAGTACCTTTCTTTGTAGCTTTTTTTACTATTTCTACATTATCAATTAACCAACGTAGTTTCACAGCACTGAAGTATGGCGATAACGGTAAACCACATAAAGGCTGTAAAAGGTTAAGAAGGTAGTCTTTATATTTGTTTTCCAAAATAATTATTATATTATTGAATGCTGGGGAAATTATATATATTTGCAAAGTACATAATTTTCCTCAATGATTAAGAGCGATAAAACAAAAATTTACCTTTAAATAATTCTTATTCCTAGTCTTGTTTGGAACAGTATCCAGCAGTTTATCAATTGTGGAAGATGTTCTCATATCCAGCCAGACTATTGCATTATGTAATGGCTTGCCAGTGTCTTTATCCCATACAATAGTGGTTTCTCTCTGATTTGTCACACCAATTGCAACTATGTCCTGAAATAAAATGGTAACAATTATCATTTCGCAGGCCCTATTATAATATATTATAATGTTTAGTAACTTATCAACTACATACCCTAAGGTCTTGACAATGTCAATCAGACGTCCATGACCTTGGGACCTGTTAACCCTGTTGTGTGTCCTCATACAATCATTATAGAGGCACAGAGTCCCTAACAATTATGCAACTGTACAACGTCCTAGACCCACACAGTATCTCAAATGTGCAGCTGTGTTTTATATACAGTAGTAGCAGCAGCAGAGGTCCTTGTGAAAGAGTTCATAGAACACATAGGACTCGCATATACATATCTCAGGGTGACAGTCGCAATGGTAGTGCCCTTCAGATCTTTGCGATTTAAAGCTCTGAGTGGCACTGCATCTCTTATCAACATGTATATTTTTAAAATCGTTAGGGACCCTGAGCATAACAATATAGAAGCTTGAAATCTTGGTTTGCTTAAAAGAAATAATGCAATTTAGATCTGGAAAAAATAGTGTCCTTTCTAATATATAACAAATGCGAGACATAAGAACTCAATATACCCCTTAATATATGTGCCCTTTTGCAGGGTTATTGGTAAAACACTAAGCGCAACAAGTTCCATACTGGGTAGGCACATGCCACACCCAGAGGACATAAAAATTGTTGGAGCCAGAAAAGTCCTTCAGTTCCTTAATGCTGTTTTTGGCTCCAAACTGTAATTAGTGGTGATCACAATAGATCAGTTAATGATTGCAGTGATGAAGCCACCCTAATAATAATAATAAAATACTAACCTCACACGATTATATTAATATCATCATAAACAACAATGCTTGTTCCATGACATTTTACGAAACATACTAACTTTACTAAAAATAAACTTTTAGGTTTTTACTGTACTATCTGACACTTTTTATTTCTGTTTAAGCAAGCCAGGTAAATGATAGTAAGTTGAAATGTGCAACCTTCTTTCTCGACAAAGACCCCACCCGCATTCCTGTGATTGCACACAGTTATCACCGTTTAGAGCAATCTATTTCAATATTTTTATTTCTGTACGAAAGTAAAATTGGATGAATTATTGAGTCATAGAGCAAAAGTTGTTGTGTTTATGATGTTAGGATCACAGACCTGTGAGATTAATAGAAATTTACAAATAACCTTGCATAATAATGCACTTTATATCCATGCTACTTGTTGCTAAAATACAACTCTTCCCCAGTTTGGTAGGGCCTTATATTATGTAGTAATAGTTAAGCAGGTTCATATTGCATATAACTATGTAGCACACTGGAATATGCAGATTGTTTTGTATTCTCTTCAATTAAAATCAATCGTTCTATTAGAATATAATATTTTTCCCGCACTTTTAAAAGATACACACGCTATCATGTCTTTTAGGAAGAGTTATAACACTGGTAAGTAGCCGTTGCATATAGTCTAAACAATCAAGTATTTTTAGTGGATATAGTAAGATAGTACATACTGACCTTGGGTTTCCCGCCCAACGAAACCAATTTTTCTACTGCCTTTTCAATGCATGTCTTAACAACTTCTAAGATATCAATTGGATCCTGTTCCACCCATCCTTCTTGTGGAAAATGTTGCTTGAGCTCTTTTTGGTGATAAGCCACAACCTCGCTCGAATTAGCTTTAAAAATTATAAAACGAGCACTTGATGTGCCTTCATCAATGGCACCTACCAAGGGGCCGAATATTCCGTATCCTGTCATGGTTACTCAATCCAGTAATACACGAAACGGTTTCAATATAACTCTGTTACGGGTACTTACAAAAGTGCACTTTGATCAGTGCACAGACTACTTGAACTATCAGTGAATCACTGATTATGATTATCAACATTGAGCAATAAAAGAGGAAAACAACACCAACACTAGACCAACACATGAACACACACACACAATTACAACTTTGACATTGACGTCTGAGTTTTTTTTGGCTTTTCGCGATCAGTGTTGATAGTTGAAGCGGTCGAGTGTCTGGCTCCTGTCAGTATACACGTGTCGAAATTTAAATTGGTACTTTCCGAGTGAAATTGGTTGCCTTTTTTGTATACTTTGTGGTGCTGTTGTTGTGTTTGTGAACGTAAATTTAGATATTAACTGGTGATGGACGACGATAATCCCCTGATAGGGGAGGCGGCTTCTCTACTGGCGGTTTCTTGAACCCGGATTCTCAAATGGATTTCGACCATTATCCCACCCAAAATGTTAATTCCAGGCCTAAAAAACGTGCCAGTGATGAAGCATCTTCCTCCCAAACTACATCGGAGCAACCTCCGAAACGTTCTTCAAACGCTCCTCCAAATGCATCTGCCCAACAAACCTACAGCTTACCCGAATTTGCTGACGGTATGAAATTTAAATATAGTGAATCTGATAAGGGTCCAGTTATAGTTCACGTATCGAGAGAAGAGTCCAACCCCTCATCTGGTCTTACAAGCAAATTATTGACGTTTGCCCAGTTCCTAAGTAAGAATGGTATACATGGGATTGCAAAAGATGGTATCAAAGCTACAGGGCGCAATCGGGTTGTAGTTACTTTTGTTAGTGCAATATCCGCAAACAAATTTATTGAAAATTCTCTCCTCACCACGAATTCTTACAAAGCAATTATCCCCACATTCCACTTGATAAGAAATGGTATTGTTAGATACATTCCGATAGAGTGGACTATGGAAGAACTGGTCAAATCAATTGATTGCACTAATGGCTCCCAAGCCATTAAGGCCAGACGTCTAAACAGGAAAGAATATATTGATAACAAACCACATTGGATCCCCTCCCAAACAGTAATGGTCTCTTTCCTTGGCAAAGAGCTACCTGAAAGAGTCCTGTGTTATCATACATCCCTTCCGGTAGAGATCTATACTCTACCATCTATACACTTCAAGTTGTTATCCCTATTCTTAAACCAGGTAAGGATCCAAGGGATCCTGTCTCATATAGACCCATCGCGCTGTCATCAGTATTATGGAAAACATTGGAACACCTCATCAAAAATAGATTAGAGTGGATATTGGAGAACAAAGGACTTCTATCCAGGTCGCAGTTCGGATTCCGTAAGGGTATGGGCACTCTTGACAGCCTCAGTACCTTTTCTACTGAGATCAGACTCGCACTCACCAGAGGATTGTACTTTGTTGGTGTCTTCCTGGACGTGACAGCCGCTTATGACAATGTTCATCTCCCGCTACTCAGGCAAAAAATGCATCAGCTGAGTCTACCAGTGAGGATGATTAACATCATTTATAACATGCTAATGTCTCGCTCCATCTCAGTACGTATCAATGATTCTCTTCTCCCCCCCAGAATGATATGGAAGTGACTCCCACAAGGTTCTGTCTTGAGCCCCATCCTTTATAGTCTATACACTGCTGACCTTGATAAATCTGTTGAGTGCTTCTGTGATAGTGATAATCTATAGTATGCAGACGATTTAGCACTCTATTATTCCTCAGAGTCTCTTGATGAATGCACTATCCAACTAAATACTGCCATTAGATACTTGCAAGATTGGCTCACTAATCACTTCCTTCTCCTATCACCCAGTAAAAGCTCAATAGTAGTATTCACAAGAAAAAGACGTGTCCCACATATACAAATTTTCCTAAATGATGAACTGATCCCTGTACACGACAAGGTTAAGTTTCTAGGCTTCTTTTTGATTCCCACATGACTGGAATCCCTCACCTAAATTATATTAAAAATAAATGTGAAAAAGGTATAAATATTATTAGAGCTCTGTGTGGAGTATGGTGGGGAGCCCACCCTTATACCCAAAAATTGATCTACAATGCTTTAATAAGGAATCATTTTGATTACGCTTCATTTTTATGAGAACCTTGTAACAAATCCGCTGTTAACTATTGAGATAATATACAGGCTAGATGTCTTCGTTTATATTAGGAGCGATGAAATCATCTCCAATCAATGCCATGCAGGTTGAGAGCTTAGATTCTCCGTTATGTTTCCGTCGTCAGTACTTATGCGACCGTTTCTTTTTCAAAATCTGCCCACCCCTTACTTGCCCCTTGACTCAACTAGCGAACCTTGTTACAACTTCTAAATACTGGGAACATAAGAGCCCTCCATGCCTTTTAAAAAGCTTTAACAAATCTCTCATCGGCCCCCCTATCAATCAATACTCTGGTAATCTATTGTTTTTAATTGATTTTGATGCACTAATTTTTAAACCCAACATTGTTACCAATTTAGGAATTGTCAAAGATGACCCTAACCCTGGAATACATTTTAATAAAATCGTTAATGAGAAATGGAACGGTTGGCTCAATATCTTTACAGATGCTTCCAAATCCACCACAGATGATTTTGTTGGCTCTGCCGTCTGGATCCCTACATTTAATATCTCCTTAACTTTTAAATCTCCCTCTAAAGCGTCCGTATATTCGGGTGAGGTGATCGCTGTTTTTGGGGCAGTTTCATATGTTGAATCCCACAAATTAGACAAATCTGTAATTTTTACAGACTCTCGTAGCTGCCTGGACGATCTGTTAACATTCCCCTTTCGTAGCAAAGATGAAAGATGACCCAATCAACCTTAAAACAAAAGAGCTCCTTTATAATTGCTCTAAGCTTGGCATACAAATTGTTCTTGTTTGGGTTCCTGGACACTCTGGCATTCCTGGGAACGAACAAGCGGATAGATGGGCTAAACGGGCGATTCATTCTGGTACCATTATATATGATAAATGTTTTTCTCAAGACTTACGCTCCCAGGCTAAGATTGATTTACACAATAACTGGAAGACTTTCTGGTCGTCTTCTCGCAGACAAAAAGGCAAATATTATGCTGGTCTTCAACCAGTAATACCCAAGAAACCTTGGTTTTTCGAGTTCCGCGAGGCCAGTAAAAGAACAACTTCAACTATCATCCGATTGCGCCTAGGACATAACTGCAGACCCACTTTTCTTGCTAAGCTCAGGATAAGGGATCACTCCCTTTGTGAGTGCGGTCTTGAAGAAGGAACTCTTGAGCATATATTTTTTAACTGTGCATTATATCCCGTCTCTTTATACGATCTTCTTCCAGATTGTATCCCTCGTCCATTGACTTACAATTATATGGACGTCGGGTCCGCGCTAAAAAGTGTCCGCACTTGTAAGGCGCTAAAATCGTATACAGAGCGCGACACTCCGCTTTAGTCTTCATTTGTTCTACGGACAGCGCGATACTGCGATGACATAACAATTTAAATTTCGAATAGGTTGACTTGGGACATTTTTTTCGTGATTTTTGTATTAGACCCGTCGTCCATTTATTTGTAAGTCAATGCCCTCGTCCCACAAATTTTTATAATATCCTTTCTCCCCTAAAATCTCAAATAACATACGGTTATAACTTTTACTATGTGCACAGCATGTGTATACGCTTTTCATCCAAAGTAGCTAGTCAAATAACCCCGTGTTTTGTCTTTGTCCATAGGATGGTGCAACCAATCATCGTCGTTTGAGTGAATCTTGATAAATATACCGTGTATCTTTCAAACCGGACATTGGCAGAATTGTCCTCAGAGTGACAGAAGCCAAATACCCAAAAAAAAAAAAAATAGTTGAAGCCAATGACAAAAACAAGGAAACCTTTTCGTATAAGGAATTTCGGATACGGATTTAGGAAAAACAACGGATCGGGAGAGGAATTTGATGTTAGGAATGTATATAAAATAATAATGATATTCATTGACCTACCAATAAATGGACATCGGGTTCGCTCTAAAAAGTGTTCACACCTATATGGCGTTAAAATCGCATACAGAGCGTCAATCGCGCAACAGACGTTGTTTGTTCGACTGACAGCACGGTTGTCAATCATGCAGTATCAATATAATAATGAGTTGTAAAAATTATACAGCAGTAAAATGCAAAAACAGGATTTTGTATCATATTTTCACTAAATAAATATATGGTTATCATAGTTCTCATTTAAAAGTGTTATTTATTTTGTACAGTTTTATAGTATTTAATTTTTAATTTATTTTTATTTATATTTATATGAATCGTAAATATAAATTACAAAAGCACACAAAATAATCAAATAGCTAACTGTCCTTTTTCCACACACTGCATGCGCAAAAGATGGAAAGAGACCCATTACGTCAATTTCAAGAAGCAAAAATAAACTTCTTGGTTATTTTCAATTGTTCGAACCACAAGCGATTGAAACATTTAGAACAATGAAATTATAGAGTCGCTTTGATTTTAATCTTATTTTTAAAATGATTTTTTATTAAACGTTTTAGGGCTTGAGATTACCTATCAGAAGTCAGAAAATACATTTGTCCGAAATAACGTTAGCTCGAGTTTTATTATAGATCGGTTTTCGTAATTACGGATAGGTATTTGAGTTTACGTTTAGTTGGAATATCAGTACATTTCTTATAGTACACGCTTATTTTCACATGTGTAGTAATATTTGTATGCACGTATTTGCCAAACTCTTTATTATTTCTTTAAGTGAATTTGTACAAAATTTGATTGTGTTCAAGTAATTTTCAATCGAAGCTAAATATGGTGCATTTTGTTAAATTTCCAGTAGAAGCTGAATATGGTGTTTTTGGGCCCTTCCAAGCAAAATTAGGCAGCACTGCAATGACGTTACAATTTAAATTAAATATTTTAGTTTTTTATATTTCGTTACATGTCACTACGTTTGTATAGGTTAACTTCGGACATTTTTTTCGTGGTTTTTATATTAGACCCGACGTCGTTTTTTTTGACGACATGTTGGTAGGTTAACAATAAT